AAAAATGTTACAACACATGGTTTCGCAACACGGATTCCCGAGGAAAAAAAGCGCTCTCTGCGGATTCTCAAGAAAACCATTGGTTCTCCCACATGTTCAGAAAATGCTACCAAGCTTGCTGCGCGCGCGCATGTCGAAGTCGCTCGAACGCTTCTGCGCGCGCGCCGTCGAGAGAATCCGCCTGCGAAAAGAGGAGCGAAGTGCACGCGCGCGTCGTCGCGCGCGCATGCCGAAATCTGTCCACAATCTTCGGTTCCGTGTCGATTTTGAAACCAAAAACAAGTTTCGCATCATCTGGTTTCAAAAAAGCTCGCGCGCGCGCTCGTGCGAATTCTTCTGAAAACCATCGGTTTCTCAACATCTTCATGGAAGTCTGCCAAACGCGCCTCTGGCGCCGCATGCCTACATCATTCGCACGCGCCTGCGCGCGTGCTGGAGGGGAACGATCCGCGTCCAATAAAAAATGCCATGCGGGCCACTCTCGCGCGTCGGCCGCGCGCGCATATCGAACTCTTTCCAAAACCTTCATCGCCGACGCGAGGGCGCCGTCATCGTCGCCAGCGCGATCAGCATCGGCGCCCGCACTGGCCGCGCCGTCGCCGTTGTCAGCATTGTCACCAGCATCGCTGCTACAATCACCGCGTCTACCGTCGTCGACGTTGCCATGATACCGCGCCCGCCCAACTCGCCGACTCGCAGTGAAGTGCCCGCTGGGATGCGCCCTGCGATCAGCGCCACCGCGGCTGCGTCGGTCGCGCCAAAGCGCACGCGCGCGCTCGCGCGAAGGCCGTCGCGGCCGCAGAGATGCACCAGCCAGCGCCAAGCACTTACCGCAATCGCCGCCGCACGGGGTTTGCAAACTAAGTTGCGGGTGGGCGGGTGGGACGTTTGCGCGAGCAGTGGAGTGGGCAACTTCAACTTGAGCGTCTGCTTAACGGCGCCACACAGATTCTCCTCAAACAAAAAATAGGATCCACCACCCACCCACCCCTGGGTTTATCTGTCCACCTTTTCGCATTGCATCTTAGATATGATTCTCGTCCATCCCAAATATGAATGTACACCATGCCAGGGGGGCCGGCATCCCACCCGCCCGCCATCCCCTGGCAAAATGTCACGCGCGCGCTCGCTCATCAAATTTCATCAGTTTCCAGGAATCCCTTGGAAGAAGGAAGAAGAAGAAGAAGAAGAAGGAGGAAGAAGAAGAAAAAACAAAAAAAAACAAAAAAAAAAAAAAAAAAAAAAAAAAAAAAAAAAAAAAAAAAAAAAAAAAAAAAAAAAAAAAAAAAAAAAACGAAGCGCACACGCGCGCGCCGTCGCGAGCGCACGCCAAAATCCTTCCAAAACCCCCGGTTTCGCAGCGATTTTCAAAACCGAGTGCCCAACAAAAATGATAAGGAAAAAACTGGTTTCGCAAAACGCATACTCAAAAAAGCGCGCGCGCAGCCTTGCGAATGCTTAAGAAAACCATGGGTTTTCCAACGTGTTCAAAAAATGCGACCAAACTGGTTGCGCGCGCGCATGTCGAAATCGTTCGAACGCTTCTGCGCGCGTGCCGTCGAGAGAATCCGCCTGCACAAAGAGGGGCGAAGTGCACGCGCGCGCGTCGTCGCGCGCGCATGCCGAAATCTGTCCACAATCTTCGGTTTCGTAGCGGCTTCAGAACCGAATGTCAACAAAAAACAACAAAAAATGTGTCACATCATCAGGCTTCAAAAAAAGATCGCGCGCGCGCTCGTGCGAAATTTTGATCAACATCTTCATGGAATTCTGAACACTTCGCGTAACCCCACCAGCCCATCCAGAAACGATGTCCAGAGGAATTGCCTCGATCAGGGAAGTGCGCAGCACGCAGGGGGATGGCCCCCCAGTGGAGGGGCGCCTTCTCAGGCCCTCTCGAAGCGCTCTCGGGAGCCCTGGAAGCGCTCTTGGGGCCATCTTGGAGGACATCGAAGAAGAAGAAGGAGGAGAGAAGAAGAGGAGAAAAAACATAAAATAATAATAAAAAATGCGCTGCCTCTCGGGAGCCCAAAAAGTCGCCTCTTGGGGCGCTTTTGCGCGTGTGTGAAGTCCGCTCATATCACCATCATATCCTTATCTACCGCTGACGCATCGGCTCTGGCATTGGCACAACATACCGCGCTACCTCAATCGCAGCGCCTTGGAAAAGGACTCGCGACCCTCTTCCTTTCCTATTTTTACCTACGGGAATCACAGTCGGTTCGACTCTTCGGTCGTGAACCTACTTCCACAGGTTACCAGCTTATTATTTTACGCTCTCCGTTGCGACGCTCCGCTTCGTCTTTGGCCCCGCCGCTCGGCCCTGGACCCCGCGGGGGACAGCGCCTCCACGCGCGCGGGGGCCTTCGACGGAGCGCGGGCGCGGGGGCCGCGCGGAGAGGGCGAGAGGATCAGAGATACCGCCACCCCCCCCCTTCAGGCGACGGCAGCACCGTGTCGCTCGCGGCGGCGTTCGGGAAGATCGCCCCCCACTCGCCATCACCGCCGCTTGCGCGCGCATCCACTCGCGCGCCTGGAACCTCACATCAAGCTCCGGCGCCTGATACGTCCAATCCGTTTCCTGGTGCCGCTTTCGATTGCGCCCACGCGCCGGTGGAGACACCAGCAGTTGGCCTCGGAGTCACCGTTGGATTTGCGTCGCCTCCACGTTCTTCCCCGGTGGAAGCACCCGCAGCAGCGGCGCCAGATAAACGTCGCCTGACAACGCTTTCGCGCGCCTCCGCTGCTGGGAAGATTTCGCGCCCCCCACTATGGATTCCGTCTCTGAACACGCGCGCGTCATTGAGGATCGCACTGGGCGGGCATCTCAGCGAAGGTCCCCTGAGCGGCATCACGCCCAGTCTCTCAGCTGGGACAACAGCCGTCTCCCTGCGGCGCGACATTGCATCGCATACATCGCCCTCAGCCAGTGATCTGGCCGAGCTTAGAGACCAAGTTGAAACTTTCACGGTCCAATAATAGCCAGGGGGTCTTGCTGCGTAGACAGCAACGCTAAGACAAGAGCTACACCATGCCCTTGTCCTTGTCGACGTTCGGATCGCTGAAGATCGATCGATCCTCACCCATGTCCACTATCAAGTCGACCGCGTGGAGTCACACCGAGTTTCTGGCCCCACTGCAACTCAGACGCTCCACGACTACTTCCTCTCAGCGGAGGCCCAACTCGTGAGCGTCAGGGGCGCGGGTGCTGCTACAATCAGGACCCTACACGATGCCCCTGACAGTGCGGCTGATTCCAGTTACTGATGTACACGGGACTACGGATCAACAGGTCCGCGATGACTTCAATGCGCTTCGTGATCACATTGATGTGACCATTGCCAACCTCCACCCCGAGAGTACCACAACCACGTCCGAGCTGCACGGCAAGCTGTGCACTGCCGAGATGGCCATTGCTCAACGTCTTGATGCATCAGAGGGACGCGCGCCAGCGCTTGAGAACCGAGTCTCCACGGTCGAGCAGCAGTTACTTGAAATACGGGCCGCACTGGCTGAGTCGCATGTTGCACGGACCAAGACTGGCCAGCTGGGCACCCCGATCTCGGTTGAAGATTTCGCCCCCCTCGATGCCGAGATGGCCGAGGTAAGGAAGGCGGCGGACCACATGCAGTCGCGACCCACCCAGATCTCCCAAGAAAGAGACGCACGCTGAAAAGGCACGGGCGGAGGAAGTCCCCACCCCATTGGAACTAGAGCGCGAAGCACTCAACCGACGACCCCAGGACCTAGAGCATCGGCTGAACCGGCACTCCCAGCGAACTTATGACACCATCGACGAGGCACGTGGTATACGACACAGTGTCGACCAGTTGCAGAACGACCTCACGACCACCGAAGCCCCATCATGAAGGCCCACGTTAGCGACGCCCAGATCCATTGCCCTTCGCAACCGCCAGGACCCACCACCGACAGTGCCCCGACCCTCGCCGATGGGCACATCCGCACAGGACAACCGCGACTTACGTCCAGGAGCTGCCGACGCGTCACGCATCCCTTGTGCGTGCACTATCGCCGACGCCACCAACTCCGTCACATAATCGATCACAGTATCCTCGTGGTGGCACCACCCAGATCCAGGAATCTGATACTGCGCGTATTCCTTTCCTGCCACGCATTACTCAGTGACAGGAGTGGCAACAAATGGTCAGGAAAATGTTGGCAGCGCCTCCGGACGCCCTGCCAAGGCATACACATTCCTCTGTGTTGCCGAACAACCTGACACTACATTTGACGACTTACAAGACAGCGGCGATTCCGATGGCATCGATTGTAAGCCTGCCGCTGGACAATCGGCCGTTCTCAATACTGAGCTCCGTCACAGTAAGATAATCAAAGATCAAGAGCACAAAGCTGGCCGCATGTTGAAAGGTAGACAGATCTAGTGGACGATACTGCAATCCTACAAGGTCACTGACGTCGACGACACGATGCACGACTCTGAACGTTTACAATTTACTCGCATGCGGGACGACGCTCTCCAACGGTGTATTGTGGATTGGGACAATTTACTTCTGGAATGCCGTGGCCCACCGGGCACGAAGATATTCGAGTCATTGCCCCGAGCTCAGATCCGCAGACGCCCATGGATGAAGCAAGACATGCACGACTACAACAAGATGAAGATGGGCGACCCCAATCGCATGCACGATTGGTTGCGAGAACGTGTTTTGGCCAACCTCGAGATGCACCGACTCGAGCGCAACCAGCACAAGGGAGCGGCCTGCCCTCGGGCCCCCCCCCTGGAGCTTGCGCGGCGCACGAACGCCCCAGGCTGGGCTCTGACCGAGCAGGGGCAACCCGTCCGGAGTCGGTCCGATGCCTGGGCCCCGGCGACACCAGCGAAACGGCGCCTTGCGGCACAATGGCTGCTCCGCACGACTGATGAAAAGCACGGAGGGGCATGGCGCTGCACCGAGCATCGGGTCTGGTGGCCTCAAATGATGAATCCCAGGGATGTAATCCGACCACCTGCCGACCGAATGCTCGTGCTGTTCGAGGAAGAGAAGAAGCGGGGGCGCGAGTCGGCGCGAGTCGACGCTCGCCGCGGTAGAAATGCTCGCGACGATGGGGCGAGTAGACGGGCCAGAGCAGGCCGGTTCTCGGCCCGCGCGCGAAGCAACGCCGACGTATTACAGGGGGGCGGGGTCCGCCATGCTGGACTGCAAGGCTCAAGACCGAGAGTTGAAGCGGGAAGAAATCGCACTGGCACAACACGGGGACTTCCGCGCAGCGATCGAGAAGGAGCGGGGCTCGCGGCCGCGCCACAAGTGCGCGGCCGTGCTGGAGTCGGACGAGTCGGAGGAAGTACTGCGAACAGTGGGCCGTCGGCGAATCCTCGGCAGCGACATGAAACTAAAAGACAAGAATGCGGCCTTGCGCGGCACCGGGACTCCGCTACCAGTAAAAGCAAAGGCCCGACTGTGCGCGCAGGGTCAGCATGACCCAGACGGGAAGTTGGGGACTGAAGACCGACGCCGCCGCGGTGCAACGGTCCAGTTTCCACGTTTTCTTGCAGCTGTCCGCGAATCTCTGGCTCCCCCAGCTATCGATCGGTGACATCTTGAGTGCACTCCTCCAGAGGGGGGCCACGCCGGGGCCAGGAAGCGCTATGCACGCGGCAGCCAAGGGGCGGCCTGGCCGGGCTGGAGCCAGGCCAATTGCTCAAGCTCGAAAAAGGAATCCATGGGCTGCCGGACGCTCCGCGGGCATAGTTCAACACCTTCCGCAAGGCCTGGGTCGAAGAATTGGTTGGAAGCAGCTGCAGCTGGACGCGGCGTCCTTCTACTTCTACCAGGACGACCGCCCCACGGGCACGTTGATCGCCCACGTGGACGACTGCACGATCGCACGCGACGGTAGTGCGATGATACGGGACAAGGAGGACAAGCTCAAGGATAGGTTCCCGCTTGGGTCCTGGACTGTGGTGTCTGGTCAGACCCAAGGCGACCTCTACACCAGCCGTCGGGTCAAATTGAACGGGGCTTGCGTTGAAGCCAGCATGCCGGAGTTCATTGACGGACGCCAGGAGGAGGTCAACTGCGGGCGGACGGAGAAGGGGGAGACGCCGCTCACCCCGCTCGGCAGAGCAGAGCTTCAGTCGGCGGTGGGCCCCTTACACTGCGTGGCCAGACAGCGCCGGCTAGACAAGGCCTTCGAGACAAACCGATTCCAGAAGCTACAGAAGGAGCCGACCCATGCGGACACGCGGGAGCTGAACACATGCGCCAGGGTCGTCAGAGCCAGCCGCGACGCCCATCTGAGAATCGAGCCGATCAAGGGCCGCATGGGCCATATGGGGGTGGGCTGATGGCGTGACTCTTCGCCCCATGGCAACGTCAGCGAATTCCTAGAGACAGACGAGGACCTCAAGAGGTTCGGCCGTCACAAAGTCCGGTCGCAGACCAGAGCGGCAGTAGCAGCGGTCGACCTGGACTGCACGGAGCAGGAAGAACTGCCGATATCCATCCTGGACTGGGGCAGCCGGGCGAGCCACCGCGCGGTTACGTCAACGTCCTCCGCCGAGACGGCGGCGCGCTTTGCGGACCATGGTATGACCCACTACATGCGGGCACTCCTGCGCGAGGCCCTGCAAGGATGGGGCGACACACTGGCGGTGGAGCACGGCGAGGCACAGATGCCGCTCACGCTGTTTACCGACTGTCGGGGCCTGTAGGATCATGTGGAGACCGAAGGCAACATCCCCGACCATCGGCGCGATGCGGCGTGGCTCGCCGCCCTGAGATCCCACGTGTCATGCGGCCCGCCGAGATAAAAACAAAGGGTGGTTAGGTGGTTACCTAGCCGGTGGATGGTATCAGACGTGTTAACAAAAGGTGGTCTGAGCGACAAGGTACGGGAGTTTTTGGAAACGAGTCGAACGCGCGCGCACGAGATGAGTGCCCAGGCCATCAGGCGAGGCAAGGCGACTGGTGACGGGAAGCAACGAGATTATCCGACCTACTTCGTCCTCTCCCACTCCTGCGACATGCCGCATCACGAAGCGGCCGAGGCCCAGGCAAGCGCTCGCGCACGCGTGCCATCGGCTACTTGTTTCCGCGCCACGGCTGGCCGCGACGACGCGAGGGCGGCGCCCCCGTCGGGCGGCGACGTTGAGCGGCGGGGCCGCAGCCGGACACCACCCCGCGCGGAACGCGGCGTGGTTCCAGGAGGAATCGGACGTCGGCCGCCAGGCCCTGCCGCCCAAGGCTAAGCAGGCGCCACGGGGCGGCGTCTACGAGCGCAAGGAGCACAAGGAGGGCAGGAGAGCGGGGCATGAGGCCCAGTTCGGCCCAGGGTCGGGACCTGTGCGCCGAGCGCACCGGGAGCGCGGCGGCGACGGCACGGCGGGGGAAAACGTGGCAACCGAAGAGCACGTCCTGGAAGTGGACGATCAGTGGCTCACGTTTGACCGCAAGGCGGTCCAGGAGCCAAGCGACAGTTGCTGGTGCTCTGGCTTGGAAACTTCTTCCGCGTGGCGCATCCAGGCCAATTGGCCCGCCCGTCGCCGCGCGCTTTGGAGGGCCTGGCCGAGCGCTGGAACAACAAGGTTCGCGACGGCAAGAAGTGCACGCGGTAGAACCTCGTGGTCGCCCTGCAGGAAGAGCTCCCGGCGGCAACGGCCCACTCGATTCTCGCCCTCGGCCGCCAGGCCGCCTGCCGCTCTGACCGCGCGGAAGAGCTGGGGAAGGAACGGGCTCGCCAGGCGAGGACGCAAGCGCAGGCACTGAAGACGATCGCGCATCGCCACCGGGCCGGGCCAAGCAGCGGAGAGGAGTCGGCCCCGTCGGAGCGCGACAGCGCCGACATGGAAGGAGAAGAAGAAGCTGCTGCTGCCCGTACGCGGCACGCGGCGCCAGCCCGCCAGAGCCATATAGGGGCGAGCACGGGAGCGAGCTACTCCGCCGCGGGCCACGGCGCGGGAAGCAAACGGGGCGCCAAGGTCAAGGAGCCCAAGGGCAAGGGCAAGCGGAGTGGCCCGGTCAGCGAGAGACCCAAGAAGACGCGCAGGGGCGGCGCCTCCGCGCCCGCGGCGGACCAGCTCGCCCCGGGGAGCATCCCCTCGGAGCTGCTGGGGCACAGCGTGCGCCGCTTGTGCTTCCAGGAGGGCCACTGGGGCAATTAGCGCCATCGCTTCCTTGCCGACGGCGCCCCGAAGGACGGGCGCTGAAGTGGCCCTGGGCGAACGGCGCCGCCAGCGGCGGCTGTCTGGCAGCGCGAGAAGCGGGGCGGCGCCCCCCGATCGGACGTGAGCGGAACGCTCGACGTCGCACGCGCTGCTCTCCATCAACACCATCCTCCAGCGGAGGGCGTTTCGGGGCGGAGCCCCCGCATACTATCTCTTTCCTCCGGAAAAGGACAGCGCGGGACGAAGATCCCGCGGGCGGCTGAGTCCCAGCCCACGTCGCCCTCCCGTCGAGGATTTTCGGGGCGAAGATCCCGCGAAGAGCCCATCCGCAGTTCGTCGCCGCCACCGGCGGGGGTAAGAAGCCTCCGGCGGGGGATCCTTCGGGGCGAAGACCCCGCCGTGATCCCATCTGCGGATCACATCTGCCTCCGGCGGAGGCCTGCACTTTTTGCGCGCGCCCACCCACCGCGTGGGCGGGCGAAGTACAGGAAGGTTGAGGAGGGGAAATCTGTAGGGTAGCAGCGTTGAAGATCACTGCTGCCGCATCCACCGACCTCCCTTCCCGACGCCGCTTTCTGCTACAAGCCCTCCCGACGCTAGGACGGAGGGAAGGCTTAGCTTCTTTTGATTGGCCCGCAGTGGGGAAAGACCACCGGTGGTGAAAAGTGCATCACATCGACAGCTGTTTGGGGCGTCTTTTGTGGAACACAGACGAATATGATTGGTTTCGCCCCTCGCGCGTCGCCGCGTGACTAGTAAAACAATGTGTTCTCGCTCCCTGCGCTGCCGCGCTGCGAGTAGATATTGCTTGCTCGCCCCCTTTACGGGTAGAACAGAACGCACATTGTTTTCGCCTCTCTGCATTGCCACCTGATGACAGTAAACGGGCGGGCGGGCGCGCGGGCAGGCGGGCGGGCGGGCGGTGGGTGGGCGAGCGGGTGAGCTGGCGTAAGTGCATTTGCTGTGCGCTAACGGGTTGGCGCCCTCCGCGAAGTATCGGATACCTGCGAATCCCGCTGCCGATATCCACGGCTCCCGCCCTAAAATTGAAAACTCGGGGGCGACCGAGACTCTCCCGCCAAGGGTAGCGGTTTCAAAATTAGGGCAGTCGTTTTGCATTGAAGTGTTTCATTGGGTTTCACGGTGCAAGTTCGGGGCGAATCACATCCTCGACTTATCCGTAGTTCCGTTGTATATCGAGACAGCTGGGTTTCAGTGGGAGGGGGGTCGGAGAAGGGATTATGTTCACACGGCCGGTTGCTCCTGATGGGCGCTAGATTTTCGGCGGCAGCGACGGGATCAGGCCCTTCATCCCAGGCTTTCCAGCCTTCCGATGCGTTGGGAGGTTTTCCCCACGAGCGTCTAGAAATGTCTTCGTTCACCCGAGAAAATGTCCCTGATCGCCCTGCCGAAATTCCTCGCGGGGGAGAATGACTTTCTTCGCTCGCCCGCCGAAATTCCTTCGTTCGACTGAGCAAATGTCTCCTCTGGCATGTCGACCGCGATGCGATGAGAAGGGAGAGCGCGCAGGGGAGGCACCAGAGCGGCCGACGGGCAGGACAGAGCGCGGCCCGGGCAGCGACGCGCCGTCAGGGGTAACGTTAGGCGGGGAGGGGGCCATAAACATGGCAAACAGCACCCGAGGTGTAGCGCGGACACAGGGGGGGCAAGTCTTCCCAGGAGGAGGAGTTGATTGTGGGCATCCGCGCGCAATCAGCTTCCATGATCGAGCAAGCATCCCACCCCACCCAACCCCAAGTGGCTGGTTACTCGAGAGATGTTGCGGTCGCCCCCATTCCCCTACCTTCTTCTTCCAACACAAACAAAAACATCCCACCCCTCCCACCCGCAGTTGGCTGGTAAAACTCAACTGGGCCGTCAGTGCACCCAGCCATCGGAACCTGTTCGTGAATTTCAATATTGCGCAGCGGAACGCGCGGACCCTGCTCGTGCAGATCCATTACTCGGGCTGGCGAGCGGTGACGGTCACGACGACATCGGCGACGACGACGAGTCTACGTGGCGCAAGCCGTGTGGTGCAGTCCGTGAGGTGCAATCTCAGGGTGCCGACAAGCGGCCTCCGGGCAGAAAGCCAGGCAACGCCAGCCAGCGCGCGGAGCGGCGACGAGGCAGCGACAAGCGGCCACCAGACGAGAGCCCAGAAGCGCTACAGTCGACCCGCAGAGTAAGGATAGGCATCCCTCCCAAGGGTACCCTTGCGTCCTTGCTTCCTGGGTCCATCCTTGGACACTTTCGTTGGCCGCGCCCCGCTCGAAACGCTTCGAGGTGGGCGTCCAAGGGCCTTGCATCCTTATCGCGCATCCTTACTCTGCGGGTTGACTGTAGCCAATGATGTGTCCACGCAAGCAGGACACCCGTAAGCAGTGCAAGCATTGTTTGGGGGAATTCGTTTTCCGCACGTTTTGCGTTGTTGCGCGTCCTCGATTCGGGTTTCGTGGGGCTTCTGCGAAAGTTTCAGAGTGAGGCTTCAGGGCATGTTGCTGCGATCTTGGACTGTTTTCTCGTATCGTCCAGCCGCGCTGAAGCGATCTCAGACCGTCCTGGGGCTGTCTAAAGGCCGATGACGGCGATGGAGAGCAACGCCAAGGGAGGTGATCTCTGAGGGGCGCGCGCATCGAGAGGCGGGACCGGCAGTAGAAGTCAACAGAGACCTTAAGAGGCCAGTAAGATAATGAAAGCCGCGATTGTTTTATCCTTTTCTCCAGAATTCCCTACGAGGCACTTCACCCTTTCGAGGCCCCAGCGATTCTGTCAGCCTGTTCGGCAACGTGTCCAGCGTATGGCCAATTTGTATCAGCAATGTGCTTGCAACTTTGCTCGTGATCTGCATCAGCGGGCCCGTTGTCACTGATCTGGATTATGCGCTGCGCTGAGGTAGAGGAAAAGGACCAAAAGCCATCGCTGGAAGATTGATTTCTCCAGGCGAGTCAGGACAAGCTCGCTATAATTCCGCAGTCAGCAGTGAAAGGAAAGATCCGATGCACGTGTTGCCTCTCTAACTTCTCTGGCCTCACTTGTCAGGCAAATTGCGTGTAGTCGCGTGCTTCACACTCCTCGCCATTTTCCTCCTCACCCCCGTCCCTATCCCTCTCAGACCGGAAGGAGTGGGAGGGAGAGGAAGAGAGGAAGGAGGATGCGGGGGGGGGGCGGGGGGTCTGCACGGAACGGTGTTCCTCTCACCCGCGTGCAGCTTGCCAGAGCTCGGGCGCGTCGCGGGCATGGCGCGGCATAGACGGACGTGGCCGCTGCGGCCACGTGCGAGGACGTGGGAGGGGGCGAGGAGACGAGGCCGAGCAGGCACAGCGGCGTGCCAGCTACCCCTTCGCGCCAGCGGAGGCTCGCACGCGAGGCAACTCCTGCCCACCATCGGCCCGAGCGCGGGCAGGAGCCCCGCCCCCCCGCCACGCGCCGCCGCCGGGAGGGGCACCGACTGCGCTGGCCGGGCCCGCGGCGCGGGAGCCGAGGCGCCCGCCCCCCCCTCCCCCACAGCTCGAAGGCGACGACGTGGCCCACAGCAAGGAGGGGGGGGGGGGCCGTGCCCAGAGGTCCCAGGCTCCCACACAGTTGGGGCGGCCGGTTTGGGGCAATCTTCGGCCTCCGGAGCCCCGCCACGGGCCCCTGGACCGTCAGAAAGCGCTTCAGGACGAGCAAGCGGCCCTGGGGAGGTTGTCCAGACCTCTGGGTGTCCGCGCGTCCGACAGAGCGGAGAGCGCCGGATGTCTGGATGGGCAGCGTCGGGCGGGGGCAGGCTCGGGGGGAGACGCGTCGGCTCCCCATGTCCCGCTGATCGCCGACGGGGGCCCGATGGCCCACCCAGCCCAGCACCGCGCGGTTTCGCCATCGGGGGCCTATCGCCGGTCTATCTGCGATGTATCACCGACTCCAGCTCGACGTTGCTCTCCCTGAGCCGGTCCCCCCCTCACGTTCCCCCTTGACAATGCACACATTCGCTTGGGAGCCTCGCCCTTTACATGGATGCACGGACGATCGGAGCCGATCGATGCATGCAGTGCCCACCCCCCTGGGCTATCCTGCGGCAGACCCTGACCATCCGCCGCCGCCGTCATCGGGATGGGATGTTTGCACGAGCAGTAGAGTTGGCAACTTCAACTTCTTCATGACATGTTGCACCACGTAGAGTGCACATCGAATGTGCCAGAACCCACGTTTGGGAGCCCACGCTTGCGAATCGGTTTTTCATTGGAAAGTCTGGTGTTGGCGGGGAGTTATTGGTTCGAATGTGCGAACATAGGTAGCAGCCGCGGCATCGCAGTGGCCCCGGGAAGTGGCGGGGGGCGGAGGAGATCCTTCTTTTAATACCCCCAAGGGTAACGCGTGCTACCCCCCACCCAGACCTCCCCCCCGTAACGGTAACGCTTGCAAGCCGGCACAAGTTTGAACATTTGCAGCTTACCAAGGACATTGTACGGAGTACACAGGCGCTCTGGCGCACGCAGGCATCGACGTGCACGCAGGGCCAGTGCATTGCGGTGTACACGGGCGCTGTGGTGCACGCAGGCACTGTGGCGTACGCGTACGTTGCGATGCACATGGCTACTGGTAGTGTGCACAGGCGTTGCGGTGTTCACAGGCGTTGAGATGCACGGAAGCAGTGTGGCGTACACAGGCGTTGTGGTGCACGGGGTTGTTGTGGTGTACACAGGTGTTGGGGTGTACGCAAGCGTTGCTGTGCAGCAGACTGATATCAGAGGAGGAGGGGCAGGACGAGGAGGAGGAGGCGCAGGGGGAGTAGGAGGTGGGAAGGGGTAGGGAGGCAGATGACAGCATATTCACAGCTTGGTGGCCCCACTGGGCGGGGGGGCCTGCGGGCTCTAGTTGCTGTTCGTTGTTGCCTCTGGCCGCAGACGGTTCGCTGGCGCAGAGAAGGCGCGGCGGCGACCCCAGCGCGGACGTTCAAGGTTGCGACGCGCCTGGGAGGAGCCGTTCGGGCCCCAGGATTCTCAGAAACGAACCCGCGGTGCGAAATCATGATTCGCAGAACGATCAAGATCGAAAGATCCACGCGGTGTTCGAAACCAATTCCCAAGGCGTCACGACACGGACCTGCCGTACAGCCGATGCCCCACGACCTCCTACCTTCCCCCACCTCCTTCCTCCCTTGATTTCCTCTCCCACTTGCTCCCAAGTCTCCCCACCTCTCCCCACCTCTTTCCACGCCCTCCCGAGCTCTCCCACCTCCTCCCACGTTCTCTCCCGAGTCCTGCCACCTCCCACATTTCCCCCATCCCCTCCCACCTCCCCCTCCCGAGTCCTCCCAACGTGGTGCTCGCAAGCTACTAACGTGCCCGCTGGCACTTGTGGCGTTATGGTGTACACACAGGCGTTGTGGTGCACAGAAGCTTCGTGGTGTGCACCGACGCTATAGTACACATGGTTGTTGTCGTGTGCACAAGCGTTGTGGTGTACACAGGCGTTGTTGCGCACGCGGCTGCTGCAGTGTACACAGGCACTGCGGTGTACGCAGGCGACGTAGTGCTGTAGTGCGCGCGGCCGCTGTGGTATACGGAGGCACGGTGGTGTACGCAGGCGGTGCTGTGTTGCACGCAGGCATTGGGCATTGTCGTGTACACAGGGACTGGCACGCAGGCATTGGGCATTGTCGTGTACATATGGACTGTGGTGCACGCAGGCGATTGATTTGCTGGTGGCTCGGACTCACCCTGGCGGGTGCCCGCCGCGGACGCCGTTACCGTTATTCCCCCGCCCAACCCCCACCCCCACCCCCCCGGGTAACACGCGTACCCACAACGCATACAAGAACGATCTCGAGAGGCCGAGGGTCCCGGGTGGGTTTGGGCTCACCGCCGTGGGGCCCAGCGGGGACGTCGGCCCCGTTGTCGTGCAGAAGCGTATCGTTAGAATGGATATGCGATGGCGGCGGGTGATGGTGGTACTCTTCATGTTCTAATAGATGTTTGCTGCAGGTCTCGATCTTGATGTGCTGGCTCCACGTTTGTGCAAATCGACGCCTTCGGTGGGGGTCTGGCTTGGATGCCGACGCTCAGACAAAAAACAAAACAAAAAAACAAAAAAAAGTATTTCTGTCCGCGTCTGCTGGAGCTGTGGGTGTCATCTTCGGCCGAGGCTGTGCATCGCGGGCGGCGTGGGCACTCGCACCGAGCCTGGGCAAGCGGCGGCAGCAAAGGGTCGGAGGTTCAGGCACGTATGAGTGTAAGAGGTTTAGGCACGTGTGAGTGTAGGCTCTCGATTCGGAGCTATGCGAGAGCTCTTTGGAGTAGCGCGCTCCCCCAGATGCCGAGTTCAGTGGCTCACTGTCCAAAATGTTGCACCCCGCTCCAAGAAGATCCCGGCTCGTTCATCAGGGCTCGATCAATCGGGTAAGGGCGAGTGGCCCATGTTCGATCAGCGGGTGTTGCAGGCTCGATCAGGTCAGTCTTAGCGTTGTGTTTGAAATCCGTCGGATCGCAGCGGTATTTCCAAGATCCTACGGCAGCGGGCGTCGTTGTCACGATTGGATATTAAGAGAGAGCTTGTCGCTAGCGTTTTTGAAGGGGGGCTGCAGTTGACCTACGAATTATTATCTTCGCTGCCATGTGTTATATTGCGTCAAGGCGAGCAGCGGCATGGCTGGTTGCTACGGCGGTGGCCCCGGATACGCCTTCGGCCCACTGGGTGGCGATAACCCAAACCTTAGCGGGCCTAGCTCTTAGATATTGCCAGTCGCTCAGTCGTTGGTCGGAGTCGCAAGAATATTAAATCATGTGATTGCCGATCGCGCGCTTTGAGATGTCCGTTCGGATGCTGTGTTCGGATTGATAGCACGGTTTGTACGATCAGAGTCATCATCGGTTTTATGATTCCACATCGATGGATCGCACGGTCAAATGTCGTGATCTGCTGCCTTTTCAACCACACACCAAGGTACGGCTACGCAGGGCCATCCGGAGCCCCGTACAACTCAGCCTCTTTCCCTGCTGGCGGCGGTGGCGGTTTCGCTGGTGCGCCGGGGCCACCGCCTCAGAGATCACTTCCTCTTTCTGGCTGGGGCGACGGTCTGATCCCCGAGACTTCGCTTTGAACCTTGGACCAAGGTACCCGACGATCGTCTTATTTGTTGTATGCCCGCTCAGCCCTGCGGTGAGTGCTGGTCGCAATATGTCGCGCTGGTCGGAGATCGTCGTTGTAACAACCGAGGCCTCCGATGCCTGGTCAGATCGGAGGCGTGGGTACCTTCGGCGGCATGGGCATGAACCAGCACGGAGGCATGGGCCAGCTGGGGCAGCCCGGCGGCATGGGTTACCTGCCCGACGGCCTCTTGGGCCAGCTACCAGGCTCTGGCTGGGCTTCAGACAAGACACCAGCCAGCTATAGCATGATAGCTTCGAGTAAGCATGGAACTCTCCATTGAGGCGCCTGGTTAACAGCGGAGGCCGGCTACTCAACTACTCCCCAAACAGGGCGTGCATCAAAGGGGCCGTGTTCCCGTCGTAGGGGATTGCAGATAGTTGTGAAGATGTTTGGTGCCCACCTTGGCGCATGATGGTTGAGGCTCCATGGTTGGTGCACTGCGATGCTTCAGCTGCCGCGATTTCTGGCTGGTGCCCGCCCCAGTGCGCCATGGCTGGCTTCCTGTGGCTGGTGCCCTGTGATGCCCAGTGTGTCGCGATCTCTGGCTTCCGCCCCGGTGCCCTGTGGCGGGTGCCCCACGCGTGCAGCCCTGGTGCACCATGGCTGGTGCTCCGTGGCCAGTGCCCTGTGGTGCCCCGGTTGTCGCAATGTCAGATTCTTGTTCGAGGGCGGCCAAGAGAGGGGTGCTGACTAGGGGGGGGGATATCGTGGCGGGGGCCATGAGATCTCCCCAGATTTCATTGCGTTCCCTTCTTATGTCATAACGTCTCCAGCCCCCCCCCTGGGCCGCGCGCATGCCGCCGGCCATGATTTGCGACCCCGCCCCCGACCTGCGCGCACCGACGACAAAGCCTCGAGTAGGGAATCGACTACAGAGTTGATGTCCCCCAAAGCTGATATATGTTCCCGTCGGATCTACACGAGTACGTCGAATGCACCGTAGACCTGCGGAACCGTTGCCGCATGTTTCGCAGATCCGACGAAAAATGACCCTGCGACGTACCCAACCCTTTCTATACATGTGGCGAGTATACTCAGGACCACTCAATGCTGATTGGCATTCTGAAGGACTCGCAGTGCGCAAGAAGAGCACCCAGCAGTGGTTTCAGAAGAGCGCAGCAAGAAGAGTAGCGGCAAAAATACAGAACGGACACACAAGGGGCGTTGAAAGAAACGCGCCCAAAAAGTGAACACAAAAGGGCGCGGCGGCCAGGGCTAAAACGCTGCGCTGAGCGGGGCAAATGCATGAGGTGCATAACAGGAGTGGATATTCATCCAAAAGTGGAGAGAGAAGGTCGCGGCAGCGAACCCAAAGAGAAGCACCCGAAAGTGGAATCAAAAGGTCGCGGTCGCGAGAATAAGCAGGAGCACACAGAAGTGGACGCAAGAGGGCGCGGTAGAAAAAGCGGCCAAAAGTGTTTACAAAAGAGCGCGGCAACGAACGCAATGAGACCTCCCCAAGAAGTGGAGACAAAAAGGGTGCGGCACCGGCAGTAACCTAAAGCACCCAAAAGTGGAGACAAAAGGGCGCGGCAGCCAAAGTGTACAGACTCACCCAAAAGTGGAGACAAAAGGGCGCAGCAACGAAAACAAAGAGAAGCATCCAAAAGTGAAGACAAAAGGGCGCGGCAGCGAGAGGAAACAGAAGCGCCCAAAAGTGGCGACAAAAGGGCGCGGCAGCGAAAGCAATGATAAGGCCCAGAAAAGTGGAGACGAAAGGGCGCGACAGCGAAGGCAACCTGAAGCACCCACAAGTGGAGACAAAAGGGCGCGGCAGCGAGAGTGTCCAGACACACCCAAAAGTGGAGACAAAAGGGCGCGGCAGCGAAAACAAAGAGAAACACCCAAAAGTGGAGACAGGCAGCGAGAATTAGCAGAAGCATCAAAAAATGGAGACAAAAGGGCGCGGTGCGAGAATCGCCCGAATAAGAACAAAAAAACGACGCGGCGGCGAAGGCAACGAAAAGCACCAACAAAGTGAAGACACAAGGGCGCGACAGCGAAGGCAACCAGAAGCACCCAAAAATGGAAACAACAGCGCGCGGCGCCCGAAATAGGAAACGAACGGGCGCGGTGGCTGGAACAAGCTGAAGTACGCAGTAATTGATGAAAAACGGACGGGGGCAGACGCATGCGGGGGAGGGTGAGCGGGGAAAGTGTTCCGTGTCGGTAACACAACCGCGCGCTACACCCGTGGGGCAGAATAGCGCCATGCGCACTACGACAGGACAGCGCGTTCAACAGAACAGCGCGTTGCGCTAGGCGAGGCAAATGCACCGTGTGCCTGACGTGCATGAGGCAGCTGCGGAGGGGATGCCACGCGGACATAAGACAGCACCCTGCGCTGTGTGGCCCCGCGGCTCCTTGCGAGCTGCGACATGACAGCGGTGATCTGCGTATGACGTACCTCCGCTGGGCCTCCCAGGAGCCCACGAAAATGGCGACAGTTGCACAGATCGCAAGCCCCCCAGGGGGCGGCGAGGTACCGAGGTGATCCGCGTATGACGTACCTCCGCTGGGCCTCCCCAGAGCCCACAAAAGTGGCGACGGTTGCGCAGATCGCAAGCCCCCCAGGGGGGGGCGAGGTACCAAGGTGATCCGCGTATGACGTACCTCCGCTGGGCCTCCCAGGAGCCCACGAAAATGGCGACAGTTGCGCAGATCGCAAGCCTCCCAGGGGGCGGCGAGGTACCGAGATGAACCGCGTGGGACGTACCTCCGCTGGGCCTCCCAGGAGCCCACGAAAATGGCGACAGTTGCGCAAATCGCAAGCCCCCCAGGGGGTGGCGAGGTACCGAGGTGATCCGCGTATAACGTACCTCCGCTGGGCCTCCCAGGAGCCCACGAAAGTGGCGACAGTTGCGCAGATCGCAAGCCCCCAGGGGGCGGCGATGTAACAAGGTGATCCGCGTATGACGTACCTCCGCTGGGCCTCCCAGGAGCCCACGAAAGTGGCGACAGTTGCGCAGATCGCAAGCCCCCCAGGGGGCGGCGAGGTACCGAGGTGATCCGCGTGGGACGTACTTCCGCTGGGCCTCCCAGGAGCCCACGAAAGTGGCGACAAGATGGCGACGAGGTTGCGCATGATCGCAAGCCCCCAGGGGGGGGCGAGGTAACAAGGTGATCCGCATATGACGTACTTCCGCTGGGCCTCCCAGGAGCCCACGAGAGTGGCGACAGTTGCGCAGATCGCAAGCCCCCCCCAATGGGCGGCGAGGTACCGAGGTGATCCGCGTGTGACGTACCTCCGCTGGGCCTCCCAGGAGCCCACGAAAGTGGCGACAGTTGCGCAGATCGCAAGCCCCCCCCAATGGGCGGCGAGGTACCAAGGTGATCCGCGTGTGACGTACCTCCGCTGGGCCTCCCAGGAGCCCACGAAAGTGGCGACGGTTGCGCAGATCGCAAGGCCCCCAGGGGGCGGCGAGGTACCGAAGTGATCCGCGTATGACGTACCTCCGCTGGGCCTCCCAGGAGCCCACGAAAGTGGCGACGGTTGCGCAGATCGCAAGCCCCCCAGGGGGCGGCGAGGTACCGAGGTTTTCCGCGTGGGACGTACATCCGCTGAGCCTCCCAGGAGCCCACGAAAGTGGCGACGGTTGCGCAGATCGCAAGCCCCCCAGGGGGCGGCGAGGTACCGAGGTGATCCCCTCCGCTGGGCCTCCCAGGAGCCCACGAAAGTGGCGACAGTTGCGCAGATCGCAGCCCCCCTGGTGATCGCAACCCCTAGGCAAGGCCACCCAACAGACACGACGGCGAGGCAGGAATCAGGAACCAGACGGCAGAAGAGCACAGAAGGCAGGAGCGAGGAGGCGGCAGAAGGAGGGTGGAGACCACACTGCCTTATTCAAAACGAGAACCCAACACAGGAGGGTTGGGAACAAGTTTGGTGTAAGCGAATTATGTTGTCGACCCCCTATTCAAAAGCCAGACGGGCTTCCCTGGGCCCACCACGCCAGCGCAGCGGGGCAGCTCAAGCCTGGGAGGGGCGCCGGAGGCTGTGTCGGAGGGCATCTCCCCCGCGCACCGTAAGCAACGCATCGGAGATACTACACTCTTCACATGTTGAGCCACATAGCTCACACTTCACGACTGTGGGAATCTCTTGCTTGGGTCCACGCTGGCAGTCATAATAGATCTTGTGAAAGCGAATTTTCCATAGCTGCCAAGCCCATACCTCAATTCATCCCAAGCTTCAATCTAGCCCCAGCCGTAGAACGCTATCTCCACTCGTCGTCTGGCTCTCATCCCGTGTCGCATTGTCGAACAAGAGCGCAGCGCCATTCTTTCTCATCGGATTACCGCTCGTCTGGATTTCGTCGATTTGCCATGTGGCCCTTGCGGACCGCCGCGGCACTAGTCGAAAAGTGAGACGTGGAGCTCCCAGACAAAACATTGTGTGGTGCAAGAGTGTGCTTGAAATCAAATAGTTGGACTCAGCGCATTGGAGCACTAAACTAGGTAGCGCTGCAGACTGAGTTCACGGTACAGTTTCGTGCAGCATTACTCGATTTGATTATTCTGGTTGTCTGGCAGATTTCGACGACAGGTTTGGACCATCTTGGCGCACTATGCTCTAGCGCTGCCCGTTCGTCCGCGCCTTTATTCCTTGGCCATTTGGGGGTCGCATTGTCATGCAGACGTTGCCAGCGCAAGCAACGAACGCCTATCCAGTGGCTTCCAGGCTGAGCTCCCTCCAAAAAGCCTGGGGGCAGATCACTAATGATACCCATTCCTACTCAAATCCAGAGCGGGGGACATGCGAAGGGTGTTCTGAACTCTCCCCCTGCCCCCCCCCCGCCCAGGCCCCATCAGGTGAAGCCTGGAAGGGCGTCGAACAGGGTCGAGCAACTCTCCAAACCTTTGGGCGAGGTTTCGGTGTTTCGCCGCTGTCTTTGGGGGTTTCTTCGTCGATGTGGGTTTTGCCCAGACCAATCGCTCCAGATATTACACGGTGAATGTTGCAAGTGGTTGCGAGCGTTCACACACATTTGTTTGTTCTTTCCGACCCCACCCAGAGAAGTATTTAGAGATGCGCCTAAGAAGCACGTGGCGAAGCAGAGCATCTTGAGGATAGCAGAATGCACCCCAGGTTCGGAAGGCACCGGAAGCATATGTTTTCCACACGCGTGCGCGCTTCCTCCAAACCCCCCAGGGGGATGTTTTGTCCAGTGCGCTAAGGAGCAAAATTGCAAGCGATATGCCTAAGTTGGTTCTGAGGGCGCGAAGGGAGGCCTACCTCGCGCCTCCCCACCTCCCTCCCTCCCCCATCTGCCTCCCCCTCCCCCCCTCCTCGACCCCCTGTGGTACGAAGACACTCACGCATTGCTCTTCTCGTGCCGCGCGGCGCGAAGTTGGCCGACCTCAGAGCAAAGCCTTGCGGGAGGAGAAGAGGGAAGGAGAGAGGAAGAAGGAGGAGGACGCCTCGGGAGGCTCATGAAGAGCCAAAAAAAACGCACTCAAACACACAATCACATGTGTATATATATATATATATATATGTAGAGGTACATGTGTGTGCGTGTATTCCTCCGCTGGCGAAGTGACACCACTGGCGCGAATCCAGTATGCACGGCGCGCGTCCACACGAAATACACGCCTTTTGGCGATGTGGCACCACAGTCACGAGTCAGCACGTACACGCATCAAGGAAGCTCGATCCCCGAGGAGGAGGAGGAGGCGGAGGAGGAGGAGGAGGAGGAGGAGGAGGTAGAGCACGCGGGCCCCAATCGCCCAGCTCGGCACACCCCTCACTCGGATCTGCCTCACATGGAGCTCCAGCACGCGGGCCCCAGCCGTCCAGTTCGGCGCACCCCTCACACAGATCATGCCCCCAGACGGAGCGTCCGCATGCGGGCCCACCGCCCAATTTGGCACACCCCTCACACGGATCGCGCCCCCATGGGAACCCACTTGCGGTGTCACAGGGAGGGTCCACATGCGAGCCCACCAACCCATTTGGCACACCTCTCGCGTGGATCGCGCCCCCACAGGGATTTCCACCTACGGCTCAAGAGGGATTTCGCTCCACCCTGCACCCCCCTCACACGGATCGTGCTCCATACGTGGGGAGATCAGCGCGTTTTTGCGCGTTTGCTCCGCAGCCCAA